ATGTAAGTTTTGAGTGAGTTCCCCCACTTTTTTCCCTAGGACTTGACCCCTGGCACAGCGGTCAGAAAAAGATTGAATTGAAGAGAGGCCGGCAGTCGGCAGGAGAGTTTGTGTGTGGGCCACACCTGGAATCAATTTGAATTAGAACAGACAGAGAAGAATTAGATTTTATTACAGAATTAGATTTGGTCATACCCCCATCATGACTTCATCAAAGCCTGCAGTGAAGAGAAAGATTGATGACGAGCATGTTCATAACCTTTACTCTGTTCATAATCTTCACTCAATGTTCTATTAATGTTCAGGACACTTCATGTTCAGAAGAAATAAAAAAAAAAAGGGTCATGAAACCCCCTCGTTTCAGCAGGGTGTTTTCACACCTCTACTTTGGAAAAAGTCAGAAAAGTGGGCGTGTCCAGCTCTGTTTAGAGGGGAGTGTCGGAGGAAGAAAAGTGGGAGGGTGTGGGAGTGTCTATTTGGGCATGCGCGAGTTTCAGAGTCAAAATACACACACACAGGAGAAAGTGATGGTGTCTAACCTACATGGACATCTGTAGTCGAATTATTTGCCAAATTATTAAATGTTGGACTTTAACTGCAGTTTGGCTCTTTCATTCAGGGAATGTCCCTCGCGACAAACGAGATATTTGATTCGAGGAACTGCTCTAAGCGTGTATTTTTCATGCAATGTTTGATACCGCACGGCGAATGAGAGAAAAAAACCCTCCGCATTTCCCGGAAACTTAGATGCACTCGGCAGGTAGTGTCAGAAAGCAGCATGTGTTATTCCGGTCACAAAATGCGGTGAAAATCCTCCACGAGGTTATAGTTTGGTTGTGGTGCTAACATGTTTACACTCGGTGCAATAGTTAACTTAGTTCGATACGAACAAACTGAATAAACAAAGAGCACTGGTCGCTCACTTACCAAATCTGTAGAGACAGGACAATCACCAGCAACTAGAGCCGCGTCTTTATTTAGAGGAGACTACAAGCGAATCCGGATCTCAGCGTTTGCAGATGAGAACAGCTCTCAGGTAAACAATAATCCTCCTTAGACACGTAAGTTATTGTTGTCGAGCGTCGCGTACACTGTTAATCCACACGTGACTCCAGCTGAGCTCTCACAGAGAGAAAATGAAAACAAAACTTCACTGCAGCAAACTATAAAAGCAACACTTCACGCTTGTTTTGCCAACACAACGTGGCGTCTCTGTCGTGTAAACACGGTGACACTAATGAATATTAATGAAGTTGCACAATAGAGCGCGCTGATTGGTTTGAACCAAGCCTTACTCATGCATTAATGCATCACACTGTAAGACGTAATAAGACACACTCTGGCACAGACGTCCAGTCTGCACGCTGGAATACACGCTATTATCTCATGACCGTGACGCAGCTTCAAAATTTAGTTTCAAACCGGAAGTACAAATTTGCTTGAAATAACGCAAAACAACCAATTTACACTTTTTAGTGAAATATAGGTGTCCTAATAGTGTTTTTAGCAGTGTGGGACACATATACCACTGTCAACAGCTCAAACACATGTGTTCTGGTGTTTCGTGACCCTTTAAAGATACTGATGAGAGGTTTGCACTGACTGCACTGCAAAAAATGCTTTTCTTACTTAGATTGTTTGTCTTGTTTCTAGTCCAAATATTCAAAAGTTCTTAAATGAAGAAGAATTTTTCAAGCAAGCAAAACATGCTGTCTTGTTTTCAGAAATAATATGCCAAAATGAAGTTTTTCCTTAAAACAAGCAAAATAATCTGCCAACGGGATAAGCTAAATCATTTTATGTCAAAAGGAAAAACAAGATTATTTTGCTTCCCCCAAATCACATTCCACATTCACCTGTAGTTATTAAACACATCTGAAAGACTAAAGAAGTTGAATTGTGTAGGCAAAGTGTCTTAAACTAGAGCTGAGCAATGGCTGACGCAGACACCTCTTATCCAAGCATCACAAATGATTTCGCTTTGTTTCGGGTTATTACCATACACATAAACTGTACTTTTTATTGGACAGCAGCAGAGCGGAAGATAAAACAATTACGGCAACATTTGCTTTCTACAGGTCATGCTTGTGGCATAATGCAATAAAAACTCGTGTGGCCAATTTCTGAGATAGCCGCATTCAATTAAATTACACCAGCTCCAGTTTGGCAGCATAAGAAAGATGAGAGCATGTCCGAAAGAAGACAGGGGAGATGGAGGCACTTATCCCTCCTCTTGTAAAGGACATAGTGCGATGAAACAATGATGGATAGACTCTGAAAAGTGCATTATTCTAGATACCTTATTTATTTATTTACATAATGCAATAAGCATAAAATGCCCCAACTCGTGAGGATATTTCCTCTCAAAGCAAGACACATTCTCATTTTCCTTGATAGTAGATGGAGTGGATTTATTCTCCATTAAAAAGGCTGTTCTCCTTATTATATGTTTTTCAAATGAAGACAAAATAAACAGCTCTGTCTCCTAAAGGTCAGGAAACCAAACTGGATCTTAATGGTAAGGAGTTTACATGAGTTGGATGTTCCTTTCAAGTTACTGTTTTACCTCTGTCACAATCACCAGCGATCTAGTCCGTACAGATTGCTGGAGAACTACACACCTGCCACCAAAGGAACTACAAGTCCTGTCATGCACCACACACTCACACCTGTTCCGGTTTTCTGCTGATTGCAAACACACACAGCTGAAACTATTCTTGGACTGATTCAATGACTGTAGCCCCTTTCACACAGTGATACCAGTAAATATATGGAAAATTTCCGGAACGACTTTACCGGTAAGTTCAAAAAAGCGCTGTTCACACAGGCGAGGACGTTACGGAATTTTTCCGGAAAAGAGCATTCACACATCCATTCCAAAATACCGGTAAATTCTGACATCATTATCCAGAAATGAGCTCTAAACGCCTATGCTTGTGTTTGTAAACATTTGACTACATCACAAACTCTGTGGATGATCAGTGTTGTGAACAACTTCGATAAAAACACATAGATGAGATGTACATGAAATGTGTTTGATGGCGCTCACGGGCTGTTTCACGGGCACACGCAAAGCTTGGAGGTAAACAAACAGCGGCTTATCATAAGCATCTTATCGATGATTATTTACACAGTTGGCATTAAGATGAACATATAATCGTTATCTGACTAACTTCTAGCAGCTAAATGTGTCTGGTAAAATATTCAAAGGCTTTTATTCTCATAAACCGCGCGGATGTTAATGCGTCTGACTGTTCTGATTGGCTAAAGCAGACGTCTCACGTCAGCACGTTCTAGACGTGCACATGCGCTTTCCGGCAATCTTCCTTCTGCATTCACATAGCGCAGCATTCCGGCAAATTACCGGTAATGTTACAACTTCTCTTTCCGGAAAATAGCCAGAACGAATTTACCGGTATTTTCAAAAAGGGCCTGTTCACACACACACACCTTTCCGGAAAAATGCCGGCAATTTTCCGGAAAGGTCTGTATGTGTGAAAGGGGCTTATATAAACAGCACACGCACATCTGGGCTGAGTCTTGTTTTTCTAAGTGTTCTTTGTCTATTCTTTCCTGTGTTTTGATCCTCGCCTTGTCTCCCTGTTGTTATTGATACTTTGCCGCCTGTACCAACACAATCTCATGACAATTCGTAACTTTTTGATTTAGTGGCTAATTCGTATGAATTCGTACGATCTAATTGGTACAAATTAGATCTAATTTTCTTATATATATATATATATATATATATATATATATATATATATATATATATATATATATATATATACATACATATACATACAGGCCTGTAGCTAGCCTGGTGAAAGGGGTGGTTCTTTTTTTGGACCTTTTTGCATATATACGTCTCTATTTTGCATATATAGTTTCTATTTAACTGCATTTACTGATTTTTTTTTTTTTGCTGGATTAGCTAGTCAGATGTCATCATAACCACACTTTTTGATGTACTAAAAATATTTCCAAAAAAATTGCAATAAAAAAAAATCAAATAACACTAATTTTTAAAATACATCATATATCATTAGCAAAACATAGCAATCTGTTAAATTTTAAAGTAAAAAAAACTGTAGCCTACTGTCATTTATTAGACAAAAAAGCAAACTAGCTAACATGTTCAACTGTCCAAGGTCACAATTTTGGTCAATTAAAAAACATAATAATAATAATGATAATAATATTAATAATGATATTTATAATAATAATAATAATACAACAGTAATAATGAATTCTTCAGATTTTTTCTAGCCTCTTAAAAAGCATTAACAAATTCCAGGATATCAACAATAGTCAAAATATGTTCAAATTCATTTAATATGGTCCGCTTCTGGTGCTTCACACCTTCTCTGCCTTCTTGCTCTTTTCGACCCATAGCGTTACTTAGTATGGATGACGCATCAAAGATTCAAACAGTGGTTTATGTCACGTGACTTGCGTCACATTACTGTGGCTTTGAGGCTCTATTGGATTCGAATTACTGGCCAGAGTTATTTTAAATTACACTTTATTACAATATATATATATATATATATATATATATATATATATATATATATATATACACACACACACACACACACACACACACACACACACACACACACACACACACACACACACACATATATATATATATATATTATATGAATTATATGATAAATATAATATATAATACTAAATTATATTAAATAATTAAAAGGACAAATTCTGGACCATTTTATATATATTTAATTATACTAATAATCACATAGTAACAATAATCATGCATGTCATATGTTTATATATACATATATATATATATATATATAAACATATGACATGCATAACTATTGTTACTGTGTGATTATTAGCGTATGAATATTACAGTATATGCAACACTGATGGGTACATAATCAGTACGCCCTGCAAATCAACACTTTTTTCCTTCTCTTTTTAAACCAACAAGTCAAACATTACAAATATCAGTTTTCCTAAATACATGACAATTGTAAAAGCCCATTTATTTCAGCAGCAGAAGAAACAGTTATGCAAAAAAGGGGACAGCTGGGGTTAATTTTAATAGTTAAATGTTGCAATGAGTTTAATAAAATGCAGTGATTCAATATGATAATCAATACTTCCTTTCCTAACTCAGATTAAAGCAACAGATTCATCCAAACGCCAGTGTTCTGGAGCTGCTGGATCCACACATAACAGTCGACATCAGGATTTTGAATGCCTTCTGAAAGCGTGGATAAAAAAAGCCATATATCAATGGGTTACAGGTGGAATTAAAATACCCGAACCAAACCAAAGCATCAAAGACATCAGCCGGAGTCCAGAAATCGAGGAAGGGGTCGAGAGCAGTGGCCACAAAAAAAGGCAGCCAGCATAACAAAAAAGCACCTACGACAATGGCCACTATTTTGGCAGCCTTTCTTTCTCTCTGCGCGTACGTCTGGCTCTTAATCTCCAACACAGAGACTCTTTCTGATAAAACCTTTGCGTGTTTGCTCGCAACGCGAAAGATCTTTACATACAGAGAGCTCATAATAGCACCGGGCAGGAAAAATGTCAGAATCGAGCAAATAAGAGCTGAGGGTTTGTTGAATAAAAGTACGCAACTTCCCAAACAGGATATTTGTAAGACGAGTACTTCCAGACCTATCAGATTCACCTCTGAAAACACAATGGAAAAGCTGTACACAAACGCAAACAGCCACGCACACATAATAAACACAGTTATGCTGTAATTTGTGACTCTCGTTCTGTACATTAAAGGGTCACAGATTGCCCAGTACCTGTCCACGGATATTAAACTCAGGTGCATTTTAGAAGAGATTGAGAGAGTCATGTCCAAGCTTGAATGCACTTTACAAATAACGTCTCCTAAATACCAGCACCCTTCAATAGATCTCACCATGCTGTAAGGCATGACCAAAGAGCCCAGGAGACAGTCGCATGCAGCCAGAGACTGAACGATCAGATGAGTTGGAGACTGCAGATGTTTAAAGTATGAGATGGAGACGACGACCAGCAGGTTGCCGAAAACTGTTAGAAATATAATGAGAAGCATTAATATGTACATAGCCACCTTCACTGTAGTAAGGCGCTGCGCACTGAGGCAGGAGTCTAGGCGAAGCGGAAAGCAGAGGAACACATTTTCAGCATACACATCAGTCTCGTTTGCTGCCATTTTGTCAACTGGATAGATGAACATAAGTCAGATTTGCACACAAATCAGTCAGTTGTACAAAATGAACATAGCAATATACATACATTTACATAATATGCACTGTAAAAATGCGGATCAATTTGTGTTGGGTCAACATGAAAGAATTTTGTGAACTTATTAGTTTGTAAGATGAACATAAAACACAACAACAAAAAGGTAAACCCTGAAAAAACTCAACGATTGTGATGTTTCAGCTGGTTTTAAGTAAGTAGCTTGAGCAAAATGTTTTTTTTTTTTTTTTGAGAATAATGTGTACAATACTACTAAACAACCATTTAAGATGAATCAGATCTAATGTGTACAATAGTTTAAAACCGGACACTCATTTGCTAAACGAATGTGAATCAAATAACGGTTTGACTCGGAGGAGCTCGGTCTTGTGGATTTATATACTCTCAGATTTCTGCTATTTCCACTCAGGCTGTGTGTTCGTCACCCGTAGCTACCAAAAAACACACACTGAACCCCTGAGATCATCATGACAGAATTAAAAACAACAACAACTTTCTTTCTTGGACACGCTAACAACGACACTTGATTAGAAGTAAGGAAAAGCTGGCCTTAATCTTAGTTGAGATCTGCGGATGTATATTTGAAGAGTTCAGATGCACAAACTTCTAATTGCCGTCTTAATTATTCTTCTAAAATTAGCAGTTTTGTCAGTGTGTAGGATCAGTAATATCACTTTTATGCCAAAGAATAAGTTATTTTTATTTACTTTAAAGTGAAATAACTCAACATAAACCAAACAGGCAGATAAAAAAATGTTCAGTTTCGATAGAAATCTAAATGGCATTTAGAGGTTTTTGCATTAAACTCTTCATTTCTATATAGTTATAAGTATTATACAAGTGACCCATGTTTCTTTATGTTTTGACAACCCCTGGCATGTACAGCTGAAGTTGAAATTTTCCGCCCTCCTGGATATTTTGTCCCCCAATTTCTGTTTAACGAAAGGAAGACTTTTTTCAACACATTCCTAAACATACAATTGAAACCAAAAGTTTACAAAATACTCTTAAAATAGGAGCATAACCATTTAAAAAAAAAGTCTGATGGTAAATCATACTAAACGTTTACTATTTTAGGTCCGTTAGGATTACCTAAATTATTTACATTTGCTAAAGGCCAGAATAATGAAAGAATTTTTATTTTTATTTTTTTAAATTAATTTCTAGACAGTCAAAAGTTTACACACATTTCCTCAGTATTTTTTAGCTTTGCATTTAAACTGTATAACTTTGGTCAAATGTTTTGTGTCTCCTTCCACAAGCTTCTCACAATAGTGTGCAGGAATTTTGGCCCATTCCTCCTGACATAATTGGTGTAACTGAGTCAGATTTATAGGCTGTCTTGCTCGCACAAGCTTCTTCAACTCTGCCCACAGATTTTCTATAGGATTGAGATCAGGGCTTTGTGATGGCCACTCCAAAACATTCACTCTGTTGTCCTTAAAGTACATTTGAACTAACTTGGCAGTATGCTTAGGGTCATGGTCTGTTTGGAAGACCCATTTGTGGCCAAGTTTTAATTCCCTGGCTGATGTCTTGAATTGTTGCTTCAGTATTTCTCCATAATGTTCTTTCCTCATGATGCCATCTATGCTGTGAAGTGGACCAATCCCTCTTGCAGCAAAACATTCTTAAAGGGAATGGGAGATGAGACTCTAATTGGTTTATTCTCAAAACACACCTATAACTCATTAAGAAAATAAACTCAACCCTTTTAGCCCATGCGTCACGGTGCAAAGCGGATTTTCCCGTCCTTAAATTAGCAAAAACGAGTCCTGACACGCCCTGAAAGCGTTTGCGCCCTGCGTTTTGCGCTCTGCGCATGGACCGTCAAAATAGAGCCCTTTGTGTCAGATGGTCAAAAATGTTAAATGTTTGTTTATATAAAGGCAATGACTCTGTAGTCGCTGATGACGAGAGATTCTCGTCTTTGCTTATTAAGTAGAACTTGCGTGTGTGCTGCTGTAAAGAGTTGATTTCATTTTATCTGTAGAAAAAAAAATTATAATACTAATATGAAACAGATTAAAGCTTTATTTTTAACATTAGCACTTAATTTTGGCATATTATTTCTTAAAACAAGACACTATTTTTTTACATGTCTAGAAAAGGCTTCTTGACTTAGGAATTTTGAGATATTTGGATTAGAAACAAGACAAAACATCTGAGTGAGAAGGATTTTATTTTAATTTTTTTTACAGTGTGCATAATCCTGTTTTCTTAAAAATGTAATATGCATTTATTATCTAAAATGCATTGACAACATGACCTATTATGCTAGCAGATTAAAGCAGTACTTAATTTTTAATCAGCACTCATTTACTAAAAAAAGACAACACGTTTTGCTTGTAATATGCACTGATCATCTAAAACACATTGACAATATCACCCACATCTTGTTCTTACTTGTTTAATTTATGTTTAACTAACAAATATGCATCACAAAATCTTTATTAATCTACATATATCTATATTTATTTTATGTAAACAGTATCTGTATGTGTTTGTGCATGTCAAACCCCTCACACACTGTACTCTGCAGAGACGTAATGTTTTCAACATATGATCCCATGTGACTAGTTATAATTTCTCAGTTTTAATGAAAGAGTGACTTTAAATGCAAAGGTGTGAACACTGGAAGTCCCTTTCACAACACTGTCGCTCGTTGGGATTAGTACAACAACAACCACTTTGGTAATAATCCATCAGTATGGCATCAGCGTATTTACTTATAATGCCTTATTATTGACTTATAATTACCTTATTTATGAAATGACACTCCTTTTCACTGAGATTATAATAAGTTTGAGCCAAATATTTGACCCTTGAGTCAAATCAGATGAGCAAAAACATTTCAAAATACGTTGGGACAGGAGCAGTTTAGGGCTAGTAAATGATGTGATTTGAACAGACGATATGATCAGTTGATTGTAATTATGATTTGGTACAAAAACAGCATTCAGGAAAAGTCTAGTCCTTTAGGAGCAAAGATGGGCCGAGGATCGCCAGTTTGCCAACAAATACATGGGGAATTGATGAAATGTTCAAAAACAATGTTCCTCAAAGAAAGAGAGGAAGACATATGTATATTTTCCTTTCAACAGTGCAGAACATCTTTAAAAATATATATCACACGGTAGAAACATGTACTATGATCAGATTAATTAGTTTTTAAGGTATTTTTGGGGGGGAGAAATGGACTCTGTGTAGAAGAAAAGAATATATATATATATATATATATATATATATATATATATATATATATATATATATATATATATATATATATATATATATATATATATTCCATACTGTCTTGTCTGAATTTCAGTAAACTCAGTTAGCTATGACAGTTTAAATGTCAGATGTTGTTGAAATATATAATTAGGTATCTTCTGCACAGCATTGAAAGCTAATACTGTGCCTACTAATAATTTTTCTCAGGGTCAGAATGTATATTGTAAATAGCAAAGGGCCTAAAACAAACCACTGTTATACAATGACTTGCCTAATTACCCAACCTTGCCTAATTAACCCAGTTTAGCCTTTAAATGTCGCTTTAAGCTGTATAGAAGTGTCTTGAAGAATATCTAGTCAAATATTATTTACTGTCATCATGGCAGTTTATTAGAGATGAGTTATTAAAACTATTATGTTTAGAAATGTGTTGAAAAATTGTTTCCTACATTAAACAATAATTGAGGAAAAAAAGAAGAAAGAAAAAAAAAAATATATATATATATAATTTTATTTTTGACATTGACATTGACTTACTTAACAGCATTATTCATTTCCAGTTAAAGAACACACAAATTATTGTTATTTATTTAATTAATTAATTTTATTTAATTTTGATCACCTATTTTCTTTGTAAAAATTGTTACCAATGTATTAACATTTACTTATATTATATTTGTTGTTACTGTATCTATTAGATCTATTAGATGGGCTGATAAATAAATAAATAAATAAATAAATAAATAAATAAAGGTATGACAAATTAGGAGCAGTAATATTTAAATGTAGAGTGCTCAGCATAAATGAGCACACCCCATTTTGAAATTGATTTGTATCCATTTCTCAGTCAATATAGGTCATATATCCGTTTAATAAACCTGTTTTGTTCAAATGCAAAAACAAATATTTATTAAAATAATATTTTAGGCACCGAACATCTTTAGAAATGGAAAGATGATACATTTAAATTCATGCAAAATATTGGAAAAAATTACAAATTACAAAACTTTAACAAATCTCTTAAATTTTGCTATTTTTGTATTTAACATTTTTCCCTAACATTAATTTTGGACCGTTATCATTTGTTAGATTAGCACCAGATTTGGCTTCAGTACTGACTAATCTAATGTACATGCACAGGTATAATATTGTAAAGCTTCCTATAGAAAATATGAATTTAAATGAGAGATGTGTGAGGGGTGAACTCATATATGCTGAGCACTGTAAAAGCATCAAAGCCTTTTTATAGTAAAAGTCCTTTGGTCCAACAGCCAGCAGATGGCAGCAGCCGTCCAGTGTATACTGTAATTGTACTCTAAGAATACAGCTGGAATAATACTGGGCTCACATGAGAAACAGGGCACACAAGTTGATTTAGTTTACATGGAGAGTTAGACTACAGCGCAGATAGATCAGTGAGCAATCATACATTCCTCAGAAACCAAAAAGTGATGCTCAAAACTGGGCAATTTAATAAATAATAATAAAAAAATCAGCTGTTGATGTAAAGAAGTTAGTCAATATTATTCAATACCCTCCTGTGAAATGTGTTTTCTTTTTTAAATATTGCCCAAGTGGTGTTTTTGTACATTTAATAAATGCCGCCTTGATAAACAGAATAATTGTCTTTAAAAAAATAACATTAAAAAAAAACTGACCCCAAATATTAGACCGGTAGTATATGTCACACCCATTATATTACAAAAAAAATTGTCCTAGTAAACCTCCAAAACCAGTACACACATTTACACTTTGGTATTTGTGGTTTACAGGGACTCTACATAGGCGTAATGTAATTTATACTATTAAAAACTGCTTATTATATGGCCTAACCATAACCCTAACCTTAACCCTAAGTGTTTAAAGTGGCTTGTCCTTGTAAACCACCACCATTATAGAATACAACTCATACCCATGCCATTATACATTAAAAAACGTCCTTGTAAAATCACCAAAACCAGTATACAAACTCACACACAAAAAGGGGAACGATCTGAAACAACGATCACACATTCAAACTAGTGCTGTCAATTGATTAAAATTTTTTTTACTAATTAATTACACTTTTTTTGAAAATTAATCACA